AAAACACTGAAATGATTGAAAAATTTTTTGACCACTGCAAAAGAAAAGATATTTGTGTATAGTAGTCTTAATTTGCTCTGTTCTGTAAACACTGTTACATTTTGACCTAAAGATGTTATTTTTTTGTTTTGTTGCAGTTATATTTTTTAAGTTTTATTTTCCTACTCATTTTAAGATGTACTGTATGTAGTAACTTTCATAACACACTCATCACTCAGTTGCTTTTCCGCTTCTACATAGCTGTAACTGTTTGATCACAGCGAGGAGGATGGGGGGGGGGGCAAGGAGGGGGGGGCTGCTGCTATATTCAGTCTGTGCTGCAATACTTGTCTTAGTTTGATGCATTTCGTATGTAATAAACACGTAAAGCCACTTCTAACTAACGCTGAAAAACACCGGTTCAAGTCACACAGGTTGCAGATAAGCTGTTTCGCTCGGTATGTTCTCATTTTTATTTTTTTATTTTTATTGTGCTCTGCTGGAAATTGAACTGGTTCCAACTTATCAGCCCTGCGTCTGTCTTTGCTGCAGTGTCACAGCACTGTGCGATGTCTTTATTCCAACTGATTGCATGCTGATTGAGCGATTTTCAGACCTTTTTCGAGAACAGCCTCACTTGAAAAGGAAAACATGGTGTATTATTACCGCTTACCTTAAATTACATCCTGGTGTCCTTCAACTGTAACTTCAAAAGGTTTTTCTATTTCTATATCATCAGGTCTTGTGATCTTGTTTGTCATCTCCTTCAGGCATGGATAGGTAGATAGACATAAAAGCAGAGAGAAATGTCCGGATGGACACACAATGTGCAATGTGGTGAAGGGGCTACAGATGGATTAGCAGTTGCTGTATATTTCTCATGAATCCGAATCTTTGCTTTCAGTGTGTTATAAGCGAAGGCAGGGAAGGATCAAGAGCAGCAAATCGACATGAGATGCACAACATGGTTTACAATGAATGACAATACACAGAAAACAATGTGAAACTGACCTCTTTGGCCTGAGGAGGCGTTCTTCAATTCTATATTTTCATTTGTGGGCAAGTTGCTAGAGTTCCTTTACAAGAGGTGAAAAAGATCAATAGACAAAACTAGTTATTAGACTGGTTTATTCTACTATGATTCAGTTCTCATTGGCAAGATGTTTGCAGAAATGTGTCCAGTGAAGTTACACAAGGTCTATACAAGATATTTCATGACCTTCCTGCTCAAGAGCAGCATCAATGTGAGAAGAATGACTTCAGTGTTTGTGAGACAAACCAGGGCCACATTCCCTAAATGCACGTTAGGACTAAGATGATAATTTTTTGTCTGTTTGCAAAGATCATCTTCTCCTTGAGATGCTGTTGACAAAGGGAGGGATAGTTACAGACTGTAACTGGTGTGTATCATGGCCTAAGTGAGTTTTTTCGTGCAGAAGAAAGTAGTGGGATCTGACCAAAGCTGGAATCATTTTGTTTTCATTGTGGAGAGACATCCTGTTGTCAGTGTTCGTTTATTTAGCTTACATTATGTTGGATCAACGGTCATCAGGTTCATTGTGAGCTTGGACCTGAATGCTATACAGGACAACGGATATGTAGAGAAAACAAAAAAAAAAAACCTCGTAAAGCATTCTCAAGTAAATGTTCATGAACAACATATGTGCCACGTTAATTATGACTATTTTTACATAAAGGTTCAGATAGGACCAATAACACCTAGAGATTCTCTGCTGAACCCACATCTGTCCCATTCAAACTGATGTTACCTTCAGCTAAACAGTTTTCTCCAACTACACAACCTCTCCTCTAAAAACACCCAGGAGTTGCAGCAGACATCCACTCACAAGTTGTGTATTTTATGTAAAATGAACCACTTCATAGTCACTGATGTGTAGACTTTATTTATGACAAGATGTGTAAATTATATTCTTTTATTCTTCCTCGTTTTCCTGTGCAATGTTTTATTATCTCTCTGTCTCACATTAGTGTTTACTTGTGCAGCACAATAAAGTCTTTCCAAAAACAACACTGTCTCATTGATAAATGATAGCTTGTGTTGTTATCTTGCATTGAAAGCAGACGATATTATCAGTGAAAAAATGTCTGTTATAGTATGCAGATTAGATGGTAGAGAAGGTGTGTGATTTTTGGGAACATTTGGGATCAGTGAGCCACAATGGGAGAGACTGGCTGCATGGTGATCGGGGAGAAGCCCCCATAGGACGTGGCTGGGTGGGATGAGGACAGTTTTTCTAAGGTCCTGCTGTGTCAGCGTAATCTTCCATCACTAAGCGCAATAACTCGGGCCGTCAGTCAGTGGAAGACCAGGCCAAAGAGTCTGCATGATCCATCATAGATATATACAGTATGCGTGTATGTGCCACATTGAACCAGTTAAGGACATACAGTATATACTAATCAAACTAAATTACTCCAGTATTATTTAGTAAAAGTTTTTGTCAGTGATTTGTGAAATTTGCTGTAGACAGCGAAGGTCTGAAGAATGGATTGTGAAAGTTGCTCAAGTTGGGTTTTCCATATTTGAACTTTTTTCTTACTTTGAAAATTTGCACTCAGCGCTTTGTATTTGGCTTTTATAGATGTGTGGTATCTTGTACGTTACTGCCGGCAGGGAATAGATGTACAGTATGTATGACACAGTGATAAAAACTTCACGTATTCATTCATAGACAGAAACGTATACAAACACATCTCAATCAGGCACACCAGTGACAGTGTCACTGATGGATTCAGCAGCCCTTATAAACTCCTTATATAGTCATATTGTGTTTGTGTGTGTGTGTGTGTGTGTGTGTGTGTGTGTGTGTGTGTTTTACATAGCTGTGCCTCTGTGTCCCACATAAACACCTGGCTGAACAGCTGCCTCCGAGAGAGACGGTGTTCTAACCTGGAGAGAGGGCACCCTCCTGTTTGAAGTGAGAGAAATTGCAGGTCTGTAAAATTAGCCATATTGAGCAGACTGCCACATATATCAACAGGTGCTGTCAGTGAAAACTACCAGGTGTTCTCACCGACAGCATGTCCAACAAACACTGTGGCTAACAGACGGGCGAGCAGACCTGTCACATGACCTTAACCTTGCATGCCTGCACCGAATCACTCACCTATGAAACTTTTTAATGGGCTTTGAGTATGTGCATTGCTCAACTTAAGTTACACTTCAACTCAAAGTACATTGGCCTGGCCAGTTTCTGTTGGTAAAAGGCAAATGAGAAACATTTACAGCAACGTTTACGACTTTCTGCTCACATTCAGTCTTAAATTTGTATTTTTCTTAGCGGTAGAGAAAAGTCTTGCAGCTGAGACGGTTTCAGTGCAAACTCACCCTTTTCACCTGTTTCATCATATTGCACATATACAGCAGAATGAGGGAGACAATGCTACTGGCTTTTCTCTGCAATGATGCCATTACTATTGTGTTTTGTTGTGTAAAGTACATGGTGTTTGAGGTAAAACAAATTGCAGTAAAAATACATGACTGGCGATTTTCTTCCCTTATTTTGGACAAAATAATATTTAAAATGTTTTGGAGATTTATTTGCAATGTGATTTTCTCAGTAAATAAAAAGACCAGTACTTTAACCCAGAAACTATTAATAATACAATCTTTTTCTATAACAATTCACAGTATCACACTCGTACAAATGACTCATTATGTTCTCATGTGCTCTTAATGCATGTGTGAAGTGATGAATGGAAATATCACCTCAGTATTTGCCCCCGTGTTTTAAAGGGACCAAGTATGGAAACTTGGATCATGGGATCTGTCCAGTGACTGTTTACATTTCTCTCATTGTTTCTGCGTCACCAAGTAGCCAAAGCATTCATTACCTCAGCAGCTACTGCTCTTTTCCTTGCAGCTGATGGTGAGGACCCGGTGCACACCAAGAAGCAGCAGGAAGCAGTTATTAAAGACAGAGGAGGATGGAACAATCAGCGGCTGGAGACCCCACCCTGGTTCCCCCGGTCCAAGAACATGATCTTGTTCTCAGGTTATGTTCTGCTGTCACACACACACACACACACACACACACACACACACACACACACACACACACACACACACACACACACACACACACAGAACCTCCTACCACTTTTCCATGTGCTGTCTGTACTTCATTGCACTGAGGGGATGTCAACAAACATGTTGTGGAAAATCATACTGGCGTCCTGGATGCTGAAAAATTTTCCCATGAACAACAACACAATAAAGAACATACTCGTCGGCCCTCGTCAGGGCCAGAGCACACAGCTTCAGGGGGAATCCTGAGAGAAACGTATGGACGGTATATCTTTAATGTATCGTTCTCTGCTGTGTAGACCAATATTTCTATATTCTCACAATATATTTCACCTACTGCTACTACAAAGCGTTTTTTTAGGGGGAACATTGCTTCAGTTATCAGTGTTTTTCTCCAATGTAAAGAATTACAGGACTGCAGCTGCAGATGAATGATCAATGTTTCTCTGTATCTTGCTGTTTTATCACATATTTAATCCTGAGTCACTCTGTAATGCCATGTCTATGTCCCCCATCAAGAAGCTCCCTGCTCTGGTGGAGTGCTTTGGTGCTGCCATCTTCTGGCGGCCTGTCAGTACAACTGCAAGAATCACACTAACGTTTGAGGACCAGTTTTATTGAATGTACCAAATTACAGAAAGATGAAAAAAAAAAGCCCTGGTAGAGGAAGTTAAATAATACCAATATCACATTACAATAATTAGACACATGATTAGTTTAATTAAGTTTCCTTTTCCTCTGTACTATCATCATGGATATTCCTAAAAAATCCACATCGCGAGAAAGTGACTTTTAGAAACCATGTTAAGCAGAACGTCAAAGGCCTCCAGGCGCAGCATCAGCCATCATCTCTTCAGCAGATCAGTCAAAACTGCCTTAGTGTATAACCTACTGCTTTTCTTCTATTCAAAGTGCCATAGTCCCCTTTTAAAAAAAAAAAAAAAAAAAAAAAAAACACACTGTTTGTCTCCCTCTAGCGTGGGCCAGTTCCTCTCCTGCATTCACACATTCTGTAGGCACATATGTAGAAAATACCTGCAACAGACAGAGGCAGTGTGTTTGGTGATGTTCACTCTGTTATATACTAACATTTCATTCATACTGCATCAACAGGACTATAGATAATCTCAGATTACATGGCCCTCCTCACCTGCAAAGAAGGTCATAAGCATGGCCACCCAGCCCAGTATGTAGGACCAGGAGAAGCGCCAGTCACCGAAGCGCCTTCCCAGGAAGTTGATTGTCACTCCAGTATAGATGGCCATACCCAGCAGAACAAAGAAAGCTGAGAGGGACAGAGGAAAGTGCTTGTCACTTCTACTGAAGCTACGTGTGATTCTGTGTGTGAATCAGGTCTAAAGAAAGACAACTCACTGGAGACAAAAAACATGATTCCTGCAGCAAAGGAGCGGTTGAACCTTTCAAAGGAGGAGAAGTGTGCAAAGGACATGATGCCAGCGATGATGCCTGCAAAGCACGACATCCCTGAGAGGATCATGAAAGCTCTGGTGGCATTCCAGTAAGCTGCAAGGAAAGAGACAGAAATCATCAATTATCAATTAATTACGTCATCTTTAAAAAAATGTATTTACAAACATTCTTGATGATTAATTGATTAATACTGACATGACATCTGTCAAGATCATTTTTACTGTCAGTCCAAAGAGTCAGTGATTTTAGGGGAATGTGATTATCTCTCCAGATATGATTCAAATTTGTAGCTCAGGCATACTAACCAGTACATTATTTTACACCATATGAGCAATTTAATTGTTTGTCCCTCCCATAATTCTAAGGAAACATTTTACTCTTGGCATTCACAAGCCAACCGTTGAATCGGAATAGAAGAACAAGATGGGACAGTAGCTACGCAGCACCAGACAGAGGCTCTCACACTTTCAAGAGAAGGCACAGCTCTTGCATCAGATGATTGTGAAATATGCAAGGACTTTGAGTGAAATGGTGGGCAGAGGTCCAAAGTCTTGTCAAGATTGTCAAGCCTGAGCCTCTGCAGTTATACAACTACAGTGCAAGGTCATGGGTAAAATAAAGCTACCCACTCCCTTGACAGAAACACAACCCTGCATGTGCTTTTGATTCGTCTTAATTGTTATCTTGGTCGTCCCATGGGAATAAAAAAACAAAAACAAACAAACAAACAAACAAAAAACTCTTACCTATGCTGTCAGTCTGCATGTAACACTTGTTGGACATGCAGTACCTCCACAGACCCTGGTGGGCATAGTTTCCAGAGAGACGGTACTGCATCCAGTAGTCAGTTGCAGTGGAGACCACCAATAGGATATTACCCACGATAGCACAGAACAGGCCCCCTCCCATGAAGCTGTACATCTTGAGCTGAGATAATGGGGCCGCTGCAGAGCAACTGTGGGAGAAGTAATAACATTTAGATGTGCTACTGATATTGTAAAATCATCGTTCGCTATTGATGCACTACATACACATGTGCACACACACAGACTTACACGTGTGGAGAAAAATTTAACACATTGTCTCAAGATCTGCAACTAAAGAAATTAAACATATAACAGCTTAAACACACTGTATGAATTAAGATAAATTCCTATTGTTGCATTGTGCATGTGCAATGATATAACCTTAGGTATCTTAGAAAATGCAACAATATTCATACATGTTCTGCCAAAACTTCACAGGGGATCTGGAAAAATGGCGATGTTGTAGTTAATCTCGTCAACAAATTAAATATTTGGGGCTCTGTTTGGTGCCAGCCAATCAGAAAGCCACTCCACTAAAAGGAAAACCAGCAAAACATGAAACAAACATTGAAACTGCAAATATTACTCTGTATATGAACATGTATGAAATACATTTAAACTGTTTTAACCCCCTGATTTACTCTAAAATTAAAAAATGAAGCAGAGTGGATTTCCTCAAACTATTTATCAAACATATTTACCTCTTCTTTAGTGGAAACATCACTATTAGTTGAACGAGTGTAAAGCAAAACCACAGTACACGCTATTCTTTATGAAGATGCAGTTAGTTGTGGTCCCCCCTCCAGATCCACACCAGTGTTTGTTCAGCAGTAATGAGGTTTTATCTGATTCTGCCAGCCTCTATCCAATCACAGTCATCATAAATGTAAATGTCCCGCTCTCACATCCGCACACAAAAACCAGCCTGAAATATGAACCCTTACCTTGTTTCTGGAAATGCACCCTCTCTACTGCCCACCTTCCAGAGGTAAAGATAGAGACGGGTGGAGGGGAAAAGAGAGAGAGCTGTTGCTCACTTGATTGGAAAGAGAGAGAGTCATAGACAATACTACAACCAAAAAGTTGCCCCCTCGTTTTTTTCTGTCGATGAAAGCAAAATCCTTTGCAGCCATCAGTCTCCCTGTGTGGAACTTGAATGAGACACTACAGGGGCCGCAGTTCATGTGACCCTGTACATTTGAGTGTGTGTGTGAGTGTGTGTGTGGGGCCTTGGAAAAGGGGTGGTGGTCCATGTTTCTTTTTTTTGGGTTTTGTTTGTTTGTAAATGGTGTGCTCTAGAACTGGGGATATGCAAAGGTATGCAGGACTGTCTGCGTCAAAGCAACATGCTGAAACAGACACTTTTCTTTCAGGGCTGTCATGACTGTGGAGGCATGGAGGGACACATATAGAGGGAGCGCTCTATACAGGCAGTATCTCTTTCTCCCTCCTATAGGACTGTCTTAGCTAAAATCCACTATCTTTTTCTGTTTTTATATTGTGAGGTCTGCATTACAGACTAGATTGGGATAAATGTTTAGAAATAGAACATTTTATGAAACTAATGTAACTCAGAGAAACACATGCAAAAAATACAGATGCATGCTTGCGCTCTCTCTTGATCTCTTTAACACACATAATCTTACAAAAAGTAAAAAAAAGGGTATTCAATAGACAAAATATTTATTTAGTGGCCAAAAATTAAAGACAGTCACCACAGTTTAAATTGAACTATACTCTTGTAACGACAGAAGTCAGGGAGTAGGAGTAATTCCTGCTGGACATTCTGTTTGTTGGCATGTGTTTGGTGTACGCATGAGGATAAATGAGGGGATGTTTGAGTCCCTTAGTCTGTGGTAAGATAAATGAATGAGAAATGGCTGTAGGCTGTATGGCCCAAAGTTTAGAGAACTGACCCCTACTGAAGTGACTGAAATGAGCAAGATAAAAGGTAAGAGAGCACAATGTTAGGCTAAGCATGTCCATAAACAACTGCTGGTGGCACCTCTGGCCCAAGCTAGAGGCAACAGAGGAGTCGAGTGCCTCTGGATGACTCCTGAACAGGTCAACATCGGTCAGACAGGCTGAATTAACATGATTATTTCCACATTCTCACTGTGTTATAGTATTTAGTGTCTAATATTTCCCCCAAGACTCTGGCCAGTTGCAGGTTTGATCTGTTTGCGAACTGCCCCTAAACTCTATTGTGAAACCCTCGTCAGAATTGTCTCTTCAGATTCAGCCACAGATGGAAATAAATGATTGACAGTGGCAATTAATCAAATGCACTCCAGTTGATTTTTTTTCTACCTTTAAGTTCCTGGACAAATCAGATAATTAATTGATTAATCAAGCTTGACAACATGCATGTTACAGCAAACCTTAGCTTGAATATGAAGCATGCTGTATTTTCAATTAGCCCTGACATTTATTTCATTTTTGCACAGTAAAAGTTTTCTGCTATTCTAGTACTTTTCTGTGGGGTTGCAAATAATAATTCTTTTCATTTCCTATTTTTTTTTTTTTTGATGAATCAATTAATCATGAATATTAAATGTCAGAAAGGTGATGTCTTCAAATGTCATGTTTTGTCTGACTGACAACCAAAGTCAAAAACCTAAAGACATTCAGTTTACAATGATTAAAAAAAAGGGAAACGCATCAAATCCTTATATCTGAGAAACAGGAAACTAAATGTTTAGCAATTTTACTTGTCAAATAACTTAAACAATTCATTGATTAACAGAATTGTTGTTGATTAAGTTGTCGATTAAGTGACTAATTATTTTTTTCACTACCTCACATGTTCACAACATTTTCATATAGTCTGCTTATTGTTGGGTAGAATAAATATTCAAACAACTTTACTGACCATCTGTAAAGTGAAACCAACTACTGTTTCCATTTGAGTAACAAAACCACAACTTTTAGACACATGATCAGCAGGCCACCTCTTCTACAGACAACAACCAAAACCTGTATCAGTGCTGCAAATTTCAGGGGATGAATTTATTTCAGTGCTATACTTGAGGTTACCAGGCATACATGTGAACCTGTGTGAGATTCGTTCTGGAAAAAGGTTTGACCTCTTATGACCCGGAAGCTGACGCCAGACCCGAGCTGTTCCATTGGTGGAGTAAAGATGGCTGACCAAGGCGCCGCAGATCCTGGTAATAACAACAATAATAAACCTGAAGCCTCGGAGGGAACTATTATTAAGGTCACAGTGAAAACCCCTAAAGACAAAGAAGAAATCGCCATCGCAGAAGATGCCTCTGTCACTCAGGTTTGTTGATTTAGCAGGCACGGAGCTTTCTGGTGCGTGCTCTAACGTCATGCCCCTGCCCACAACTTCAGCTAGGAAGCTAGTTAGCCATGTTAGCATTTGTCGTCACTCTTACCGGCTAACCGAGAGTGTGTGAAATTAAAGAGGTTATGTGTAGTGAAAGTAATACTGCTTAGGTTAACAATTGTTCGGCGTTATTAGCGTCGTTAACACCCAATAGAGAGATATAACTACGTGATTATTTGAGATGGCTAACCGGCTAGCCGGCTAAAGGCTAACATCTAGCTAGTTATCGTTAGCTAAGGCAACGTTAGCTAACTATGTAGCCAAACAAGTGTCAGCTGACGGGCTGCGCTGTAGCTGTGCCTCGGCGATAATGGCCTGTTAGAACCAAAGAAGTGGTTTTGGGTGGGTGATGTGCCGTGTCGCTTTCATTTCCCATCTCAGCTCAGCAGATTTAAAAGATACCATAGCTCGCTTTCACTCTAGAACATTCTCCCTGCTGCCACTGAGTCATTCAGCTTTCCTGGGAATATACAGCACTCTCAGAGCTGCTGTTTGCTTGGAGACGTGTTACAATGAGAGCATAGTGCAATCGTGGAGGCAGAATGAAATCATAGTTTCTGTAACATAGTATGCCGTGTAGTCAAGCTTCTGTCATTACCGTCTGATCCTCAGTAGCCATTTTTGTTTAATGGTATGTGTGTCATGGTTCAGTGTTCAAACATTGGACTTGTGTCTCTGATTTCTAAGCATGTGTCTCCTCCTTAACTACACATGGCTTTATATGTGATGTGCAGAATCAGAACATTCTGCAGTCTTTGAGGTGAATGTTTTATATACACTCTGCTGGCAGTTTAGTAGATACACCTAGCTAAAACTAATACAGTCTAATACAACAGCCCTCCAATAGCTTCAATAAACCCTCCCTTCATGAAGGCAATAATATTCACTTTGTGTTGAAACTGTTTTAGAAAGGCGTTGATTCAACTTTATGGCCATTTTGGAGGCTATAGTTTGTGGTGCTGTTGAATTGTAATGTGTTATACTGACGGGTGTTTCTATTATTTTTTCCCACTGCATTTATATCACTGAGGAAAGGCTCAATAACAGACACACCCCTCTGTATAATTCAGTACAGTCCAGCAGCATCACAGACCGCATCCACCAAAGCGATCAAACAGTTGAAGTAACGCCTCTAAAAGAGTTTCAATAAAAACTGAATACTATAACCGTCATGAAGGTACGATGTGTTGCAGGACTGTTGTATTAGACTCTGTCAGTTTTAGCCAGGTGTTCCAGCACACACTGATATGAAATTGTTATGGGGAAAAAGCATACAGAAAATACAAACTGTCGAAGTAAACACCAACAAATGAATTAAAAAAATAAATAAAAAAATCTGAACAAAAATAAGAATCTATGTGAGATTAATCAGTTTTTGTTTTAGTGATTTGTTTTTGTTTTTGTTTTTTTTTTTTAGAAGAAATTATACTTCTTTATCTATCTTGTGTAGCATATTTCTGGCAGAAGAAGCTCTATAGAGTTTAGTTCTCATATAGTGGATGACCTGTGCATGTAAATAACACTAATGTTACTTGCATCATTAAGTTACGCATGACATGGATCAGTCTGTTCTGTTTCATATGTCTCAGTTGATTAATTCATTTATTTAACTTGCTGCTACTTGCCCATTTTTAATGGTGTGCATGTGCAGATTGTATGTATTTATTGTACTTTCTTTAAAAGAAGCCAAAGACAAATTTCCACTGAGGTGGAAAATAAAGTCAATCAATCAATAATAAAAGTCTTATTCTGTCAATTGTATT